GGGCGTGTGGCTGGGCGGGATCTTGAGCCGGTGACTCATGAGGGTGGGAGGACGCCGCTGGGGGCGCCGCTGGTCCCTGGTTCGCGCCAGCACGTCGGGATGCGCGGCCCACGCAGCCGCCAGTCAGCACCAGACGCAACCCTCACCGCCGCACTGCTGGGTGCTGCATCCAACACTCTGCATGTGCCGCCGCAGAGGGCACGTGCGGAGCGTTGGAGGTAGCACCCAGCAGGAAAATCGCCCCCTAATATGCGTCACATTGGGGCGCCAGGCGAGTGTTTGTGTTGGTGTGTGTGTGTGTGTGTGTATGGTGTGCGGGGCCCTCACTTGTGACCTGCACCTTGTCCACCACACACTGCTCCCCCGGGGGCCCCTTCCAGCTCATGGGGCAGGGGCGGAAGAACTTGGCCTCGTCACTGGGTGGGGGGGTGGGGGTCCAGGGTTAAAGGTTTAAGGGTTCAGGGTTCAGGGAGGTTGTGTTGGTGGGGGCCGTGGTGTCGATCGTGGTCAGGGGCGAGGGGTTGAGGCGCCATCACGATGTGTCATGCGGGTGGGCCCGGTCAAAGGGGGCGACACCTTACGCCCGCCGCCTGCGCAGCTTCCCAAGCAACACGCCGCCGGCGCCCCCTCCCCCTCCCCCCCACTCCCTGACGCGCCGCCACGCTCGGCCCGCCCAACAGGCCGCTCGGCCCGCGGCGCGCCGCCGCGGCTCTCCGCCTCACATGACGGCGGGCAGGGGGTCGCGGGTGTTGGTGGGGCGCTGCATGTTGATGTACACGTCCCCCGGCCGGATGAACTCCCCGGGGCGCGCGAGGCCGTCCCTGTCCAGCACGTGCAGCCGCTCGGGGACGCGCCCCGTCACGCCTGGGGGGCGGCCGTCGCGGAGGGGTTGAGGAGACGGGGGCGCGCCATCGGATTCGGTCAAGGGAAGATGGGTGAAAAACAAGGCTTCGTTCGAGGGGTTTGTGAAGGAAAGAGTCTTGTAACGGGTTCTGGCTGTTTTGTAGCGGGGGTTGTTGGCCGCGAGGTGGTGGGACATCATGGCGTTCATTGGCTTCGAGGCCGCAGGTGACCCAGGCAGGCAGGCAGCCGTGGCTCAGAGAATCCCTGGAGAACAGCCGCGTGCCCCTCCCAACGGATGGAATGAGGGGCGGGCGTGAGGGACGCCGCAGCAAGCGAGGGCGGCCGGCAGGGTGGGGGCGTCCAGGGCCGGGGGTCGAGGAAGACGGGAGATGGGGAGATGGGGAGAGGGGAGAGGGGCGG